CTACCCTAGCGCCAAATCTTTCTCCATAGAAAGCAGGGGTAGCTTAAGAAATGATTATCCATAGAATTTGAGGAAGTCTTCGTTAGTTCTGATACTTGTACATGAAGGGTCTTCTAGCCCCTGGTTCTATCATTTCTGAGGACCCGGAGCCTCTCGGGAGACTTCAGTCTGCATGAGGACTGGCCAAGCTGCTCATTCTGTGACCAGTCCCGGGTCCTCCGAGGAGGTCAGCGTGATTGCCGCTTCCCAAGGAGCACCCCAGGGCTCTGCTCTCCTCTCTGAAGATGCACTCTCCTACTTATAAACCATTTGTGCCAAAGCGATAAAGTCCTTTTAAATGCTGGCTTGTGGTCTAAAAGCATCTCATACACACCACTCTCGGCCTGAAGGAAACTATATTACCTATTTTTAAAGTGCATTTGCACTGAAGTAAGAATATTGCATTTTAGGTGGGGGCATGTGTGACAACGTGACGGTCATTTTCTCCCCTTCAAAATGGAAGTTAACACTTTCTAAATTGAATTCCATTGGTCTTTTTTTTTCCAACCCCCAGTATCTTTTTGGCTATTCAGTCACATAAAATATTGACTTTGTAAAGAAATTCTTAAAGGTGTATGCACAATTTTGAGCAATTCCTCTTAGGCATTTTCAACAGAAATATCCTATTATATTTTACCAATTTGTTTTGCCATTCATGAGGCTGGGTTAGGGATACCATGACTTTTTACTTTGCGGGCTTTTATTTTCCTCAATGGTGTGGATATAGTGAAAGGCTATAAGAAACAAACTGTGCTGAATGGTCAGCCTCTAATATGATAGGACTTTGGGTGAGACGTTTACACTCATAGAGCTTCGGTTTGTCTATTGCTCAAAGGATGGATATCGACTCTATGATCTGGCCACCCCGAATTAGAATTGAATTCTCTTGTGGACATAAAAACATGTTGATATGTGGAAAGCACTATAATAATATGATGTTGTGGTGTTAGCTTTAGTTTTTCTACTTTGTGATGTATGAAGAGCATGTATTACTTGAATCATCCAAATTAAACTTAAAAAAAGAAAAAACCGAATTGGCGAACATAAGGAAAACTTTATAGCAAAGATTGAAAGATTCTAAAAGGAATATCTGGCAGACATATAACTTACATTCATCCTACAAATTGGCCTCAGGTTTAAATTAGGAAATGTATAAATTTTTAAAAATTTCCAAATAGATGATTATTTTTATTTTCCAAATCTGTGGGTTGTACGATATGGAATTTTGCACTGTGTTTTGGTGTGGACCTTCTTTCTTGATATTTAGCAAATATGAGGTAAGAAAAATGTAAAATGACATTTATTTAATCTTTATTGGAAGTTTTGTTTTCAGAATTTGGCAGATCTGTTCAACAGCATAGATGAGGAGCTTAGTGCTAACACTGTTTGGGTGGATTTTTAAAAATCTAGTCAGTCTGGATTGTAGTATCTGTTTTGGGTCAACGTGTTTGAAAATGCCATAAAGAGTCTTAAGGCTTAGTTGAAAAATGTTTGAAAGACAAATCCCCTAGTAACCCATTATCTGAAAAATAGTGGCATTACTTGGTTACCTCATATCTCATTGCTTGGGTGGGAAAAACTTATATACGTTTGTCAACAGGCACAGCATATCCTTCTTCACCAGCTTTGTCCTAGTGACAGTAACATAGGGTGAGCCAAAAAGTTCCTTTGTTTTTTTTCTGTAAGGTGGCCGTACAAGTGCTTGGTTCTCTTTAACTTCAGTTGAAACAATTTCGTTAGAGTGCATTATGACAGCTGTCATAGCAGCGTGCATTTGAAAAAACTTATCAAAATTGGTGAATTCTTGTGTAGCCATTTTAATGTTGAAGATGGAAGAAAATAAGCAACACTTTTTTTGTGGATTATGCTTTATGATTTCAAGAAAGGTAAAAACACAACTGAAACACAAAAAAAGGATTTGTGCAGTGTATGGAGAAGGTGCTGTGACTGATCCAATGTGTCAAAAATGGTTTGCGAAGTTTCGTGTTAGAGACTTCATGCTGGACAATGCACGGTCGGGGAGACCAGTTGACATCGATAGCGATCAAATCGAGACATCAATTGAGAACAATCAATGTTATACCATACAGGAGATATCCAACATACTGAAAATATCCAGATCAACAGAGTTACTTGTGAAAATGAAAAACGTGTCTTTTATGGAAAAAAGTAAACATACACTTTGGCCAACCCAATAATGTTCATTGGGCATTTGAGCTTTGGTAGGCATTGCAGAGTCCATGAACAAGGCACTTTCTTCCAGAAGCTTCCAATCTCATGAAAACAAGTAATAAGTTCTCTTCCTCAGGGCTGTGATTTTACTCTATAACTCTTTTTCTTCAAATACTATTATGAAAGAAAATATCCTAAACAAAAACTGCAGTAAAATTTTAGAGGAATGATCTGTTTCATCAGACTATGTAGCACTCAAAATTCTTTCCCTGAGATTATATCTTGTTTATATAACCCAAATTGGTACACTCAGAAATTCTTTCCACTGAATGTGGACTAGAATTAGAGAAAAGCCAAGAATCTCTCTTGCCATCCAGGATGCCTTTGCCTACTTAAGTGGCTGGCAGATATGTTTAGAGGTAAATCTTTTAAAAATTTTCTGATGTGGAGACCATGCCCCCCAGAAAACTATGTGGTACACACATTGATCAGACCTGATCATTTAGCTGAGGATTTCCCCTAAGGTACCTCCTCATCGCGCCATATGCGGAGTTGGGGCTCTTCCTAGGTCACTTATGGGGTCAGGCCCATGTTGGGAGGCATTTAGTCTCAATTTTACTGTTTTGCAGGGGAAGGAAGAGAATCAAGACCAGTCAGACTTTGCTTTATTTGGAAAGGAATGAGCAGTAAGACAGAAATAGTATTTCAGAAATGATGCAAAAAGCCTGGTACTAATCTTGCCAAGGCTAGACGCTGTGAGTCGTTTTACCCTGCCATAACCAATGTTATTAATAATAATAATACTTTTATTATTATCTATTCGTTATAGAAAATTTATTGTTCATTAGACTTGGAGCTAATGGCTTTAATTGCATTTTTCTGAGTTTATCCTCTTAAAACTCTATGAAGAGCAAACCACTCGGAAAAGTCAGGTAACTTACCCAAGATCACACTGTTGCTAGGTGGCTGAGCCAGTCTTTCTATCGCCCAAATTCATGCTTTTAGCCATTCTGCAATATTCCTCTCCATGGAAATGAGTCACTGTTTATGAATTCACATCTTCTTGAGAATATTATGATGTAGATCTTTGGTTAAGGAAAATCTACTAGAGTCAAGATGAGTTAATTCTACTTCACTGGGGTTCTCCGAGTTTTTTTGTCATCTTGGGACTCCATTCCTGACAAAATCATGATGGGTAGGTAGACAGGTTGGTCTTTTGTATTTATTTTCACTTCGAGATTTTACAGCTCCTCAGTGTTCTTGAACCATTTCCATATCTCATATGAATTATCTAGTATTAGATTCTGCTCACAGTGACTACTAATCTTCCCCATCTCTATTTTCCTGTTTCTCCAATGAGAACAACATATTTTTTTTTCTTTCTCCATGGGGATACTACAGTTACCATTATAAGAATGATGTAATAGCTGTATAAGTGCTTCAAGCTTATGAAGTAGACCAGCAACAAAAATCGAAGTTACCATTGTCATCTAAATTATTCACATTGTAGTGCAAAAACAGAAAGACTTTTAGAGGAGTTCTGTGGCACACTTAGCTTTATTGAAATTGAACAAATACTTTTTTAAATAACCCCTTTTACAGCACATGTAAAATTTAATTTTTTCATTATATTTTACAGGTTGTCTTTTATCTGAGTAAGCAAAAATACGTCTTTTATTATTTTTTTTCTTACTTAAAACATGTAGCCAGGATTCAAACCACATAGCTCTGGTACCAAAAAGGCAACGGGTTATGAAAATCACAGTACAATTTTAAAATTCTTTCAGTTAGTTAAGGATATTTAAAATGATATTCACTTGGATTGACAGTAGAAATCATGGGTGAGTGGACATTGGGACTAGTAGTTACACCTACAATGAGAGCAGAAATGGGAAGTTCAAGCTAATATGAGCTACACCATTCAGGACACACCATCTCCATAAATACTGTGGCTGAGAGGTTGCAATGGCTAAGTCACACTTGAGCACTTCACACAGAAACATAGCCAAAGCGAAAAAAGTATATAGTGTGCTAACTTGGATCTAAAATAAAATGGGCGTTTGTTTTTAAGAGGGTATACTATCAAATCAGTTACACAAGACACAATTTAAACCCCCAAATTACATCTAGGAAAGAAAAATAATGTTAAAATGCACACCCACACGGACGGTAAAGTAGAAATCTGTTCTTTGTGATTGGTGTTTATTTTTTGTTGTTGTTTTTTTGATAAGTAGAAAGAATTTATGACCCACAAAAGGATTTCTCGGGTGAAACACTAATTACAGACATTGTAAAGAACATAGCTCAGGAGGCTCGTTTTAAAAATGAGGCAGCGCTTTCCTGAAAAAGTTTGGTCCTCGACTCACTATAGGCTAGTCACTATGGTCAGATGGTAAGCATTTTCCGTGTGTCTGTGTGTGTGCGCGCACGCGCGTTTTAAGCTAACTTTTCAGTACCAGAATTAGTCAAAACCAGACCAAAAGGCAAATTGCCCTTGAGAACTTGACCTTGCATATCGTGTCTAGTTGATGCATTATCTGAAAGAACAATGCTAAAGACTATGAAGGGAATTATACTCACATGATTCTGCAACAACTTAATTTTGTGCATTTTCCTTCATCGCCATATAACTTATCTTTATTCACATAGGTGCCAGGAAACCCGCCCCATGATCCTCCCTCCCCCCTCCCCCAATCTTCGCCTCTGTCAAAGTGATATAAAGACAATTGCACTGTGTATTTACAAGCACAACACTTAGGCAAGAAGGTCCCAGGGTTTGAAGGGCACGGCTATTTCTTGTGGACATCTTCATGCCGAATGATCTTGTATGTGATCCAGTAAAAGATGTTGAAAATGAGGAAAGCCAACGGGAAGGCAGCTCGAGATATCGTGTCAATCCTTTTTGCCCGGTCCACAAACTTCTTCTTGATGGCATCTGCATCTTTCGGGGGTTGTGGGATCACGTTGGCAGGCGTGGTCTTGACAGCTGTTCCATCCTTCACTTGGAGGCAGTGACCCATCCCATAACCACTGAAATTAAAACGGCTTTCGCGAGTAACATCTTCTTCCTGAGAGAATGAAGACAGAGGAAGCACAGATTTGTTGTCAGTCAAATCAGGTGGAAGATGCTTACGATTCTTCCGAAGTAAAAGGATTAAATCACAGTTAACTGGTAGCATGGGAGGCTTTTGGAATGGGTGGCTCTCTTTCAAGTGTAACTCAATTATCCATCAAACAGATAAACAGTTCATTAAATTTTCAGGCTGAGAAATTAAGGGTAAGAATAATGACTTTGTGGTCATTTTAATTGATTAACAAACAGAAATGCCTACATTATATTCAGCACCAACTTCCCCAAAATCTAGTGTATTAGCCCATAGCTTTGAATAGACTGTTATAAAGTGAAGTCTCTAAATCCCAATATAAGACTCTAAAACAGTGAAGAGGACCATTTGTTCATTTACTCATTAATTAATTAATTAAAAAAAGCATTTACTTAACTACTGCTGTGTACCTAGCCCTTAGCTAGTAATTTCTAGTGTTGTGGCTCATTCACAGCCCAGTTCCTTCTGTTGACGTTGAATTTACTGTTAATGGTAGATCTAAGATTCACTATTTAAATGTTAATCTTAGTTCCCCTCTAGTTCATTTCAGTTATATGGCAGAAATTAAACATTCATTATTTGGTATTAGATATTTATATCATGGCTAATTTTTCTAGCCTCAGTTTTTGAGGTCGATTCTTTGGGTAGTTATTTATTTCTGCCATATTTAAACATATGTCCTTTTAGTTGATGCCAGTGGAATTTTGTGTTGATTTTCTACATGATTTAGATAAAAGACTAGAAAATTGTGTGTATTCCTCACTGTAAAGAGTAACTAGCCTTAGTAGAGACAAATGTGTGGAATCTAGGTGTGAGGTGGGTACAAATGGTGGGTTGAAAAGGCAGGAATGAAATGACCAACTTAATAAAAATTTAGTTCTAAATAGCCGTTGATTGAACCTTCTTCCGAAACTAGATTATTGCCTTCCACAATACAGTGCAATCCCTTTAAGTAACCAGAGGCGTTGCACTCTTTATCTTACCAAATAATAATAACGGTTGTATTTCCCAAAAGACAAGAAAAATTGGTATTAATTTTATCTCATCAACGTTTATTGCATGTCAGTAGTGCCTTCAGCCACATATAAAAGATATACTGAATGAAGGACTATTAATATAACATGAAAGCCAGCCCAACTTTCATCCAATAGTATGCAAAGGCACATTGTATCTTATGTATTGAAATAAGTTTTGTAAGGTTAACAGGAGATCCCTGGATAAATAAGGAAAGTAAGAAGAGTATTTCAGTTAATTTCACTTTATCCTGTATGAAATGGGGAGTCAGAGAGCACATGGTTTAAAGAAGCACAAGGTCTTCAGATTAGATTATAGTATGTGCTCCGATGGTGATTGTAGAACCTGGAAAGAAAAGAACGATTGGCTTCCACGTGGCTCACTTAACTGATTAGGACCCTGGTGCCGCTTCCCTCTGTAGGAGGTGTATGTAGGCTAAAAATGAAGAGGAGAGTCCAACAGAGTCCCTACGGCCTTTGGCTTATCGGCACTGCCCCCCACCCTCAATCTAGTACCTCTGGTAAGGCCAATCCTAAACATGGCTAAATGGCTACATGTTGCATTGCAGCCTGACAATCACTCCAGGGAATTAGGGCTGGAGAGACAGCCAATGTGAATAATAGCCAAACACTCCATGTCACCCTTCACTGCGTGCATCAGATCTCCAGGAAAATCAGGCTAGAAAACAGAAGGCTCGTTTACTTGATGCCTTAGTATTTCTTATCAATGAATGCATCTAGTACTACCAATAAAAGACATGAATTATAAACTGCAATCAGCCTATTTATGGCAGGAAAATCATGATTAAGCTCTTGTAATTAAGTAACTTTAAAATACTCCTCTACGAAACCATCTACCCAGTATTTTGATTGTTATAGGATTGTCCTGTACAAGTTGGTTCGAGATGCTCTGTCTCATTTCTTAACAACATGTAGTAAGGGATTTTTCATTCAACAATTAATTGTTGAGTGTAAGCATCATGCTGGACGCTGGGAGACAGTTGACAAAGTTGGACAAGGGCACTATCTGCATGAAGCTTTCAGAACCCAGTGGAAGAGGCTGACCTAAAGGCATTATCCTAAAAGACAGCTGGCAAAGCCCTGGCAGGGTAGCAAGTGGCTTTGAGTGCTGTCCCGATAAATGAAGGTTGTGGGTTTGATCCCCAGTCAGGGCACATACAAGAATCAACCAGTGCATGCATAAATAAGTGGAACAGCAAATCACTCTGTCTGTCTGTCTCTCTCTTTCTCAAAATCAATAAAAAATATTAAAAGGAAGCTGGCAAAGAAAACCTAGCTTGACATTCGAGTACTTCCATGTACTCAGCTATATAAGCTCAATAATGAAGATGTAAATTGGACTCAGATTCAAGTATTAAATCATTTTTCTTTGCCTTAAAATCTGAATCATATTTTATGGTTGGAAAAGTTTCCATTAAGTATAGCGCTTCAAAATATGAAATAAATACATATATTAATCATTGCAGTGTCACTATTCAGTACTTAGCAAGAAAGGAAGCATAGAGGTCATTGGGGAAGCGGCTTTGCTTATCACATAGGTTATAGGCCCTCTTGGACCCCTTTTTACTGCATCAGATCTCCAGATCTCCAGATCTCAGATCTGAGATGTAGCTGAATGTTACATCTCAACCAGTATACGAGAGAAGAAGAAAAACTGGTGTCAGCTGGTCTAGTAAAGAGAGATCCAGACTAGAAATTTGGGTATTGGATTCTAGGCCTGGCTCCAAGGGTTATAGGCTAAGTTGATCTCAGGCAAGACACTCATTCTTTCAAGGCCTCAGGGATCTCATGCCAAAAATGTGGAGGCTGGACTAGCTCTGTGGGTCTCAGCTGTGGCTGCTGGGGAACATTCATAAGTGTGCATTTGCCTGCCTCCCCTCTCAGCCCCTTCCAGACCAGCTGAATCAGAATCTCTGGGGAACAGAACTGAGAGTCCGTGTTTCTAAAAATCCAGTGACTCTAATACAAAAGGTAGATGAGCTCTAATGTCCAGCTCTAATATGCTGAACCTATTATATATTACTGAGTCTAAAATGACTTTTCAAATGGAAACGATCCCTTAAATATATTTCCCCTTTTCTGCCCAAATTCACTGTGCTGTTTATTCTTACCATGTCTGTAGAATCCTGCAAATTGCTGTTCTCACCTCTATAAATGTTTAGAAACTCATGATTAAGCATATAATTTACTGCCTGACTGAGATAAGATAGTTTTAAAGTCCTTAGGCCCCTGAAGAAATAGAAAGGGTAGTTAGCTGGTCACCTGTTTTTAGCACATACAAGAAAGGGAAACCTAAATAGACATCCATATTTCTCTTCAGGCTGACTCATTCATTTAATTTCTTTAGTCTTTCCTCACATACTGTGAATGGTTAGCTGAAGAGGTTAACTCACTTCACTTCCAGAGCCAGAATAGAATGAGCCAGGTTAGGTTATAATTATGTTGTACATTGCCGTGCAAACTGTGGGTGCCTAATAAACGTTTGCTGAAAAACGAACAAAAGGAAACTTGAAGAGCGTTTTCTCTATGCTTGAAAATACTTTCCTCTTTCATTCAACAGTGTTTGAAATTATGCTTTTTAGCATAGTTACAGCTAATTAAATCAATTCTTTAAAATTCTCCACCATAAAAATAAATCTGTCCTAGGTAGAAATTATCCATTTAATGTTTCACATGCAGGAGATATGAATGCTACTTTGAGGGTCTTCTTATTTACCATTACGACTCAATCAATGCTTTTTAAATATAGAACCTTAAATTATCCACATAAAAGAGTGTGGTTTTTCTTCAGAAAACATAATTGCAAGCACTTTGAATTTTTGTGTTATAATGAACGACTAATTGCTTTTATAGCAGGTTCAGAATAAAATGGCATAGTAATATGGGAAGATTCCTATATGCGGACAAAATGAAGATGAGCTTGAGTCATGGATAAACTGAAGCTAAAATAAAGAACAGTCTGTAGGCACAGCTTAGTTGAACGTATTCACAGAGAGAGTCAGTTAGATCCTCTTAGTAAGAGTAGAGTTTTAGGCATATAGTATTCATTTTTTCTAATAAGCCAGGAAACCAATTAGTTAATTATTGCTGCCCACCAGCCATCTCCAGTAACTGAGTAGAAGACACGTCGAGCTCACTCTGTTTTGTTACTCACTGATGAAATTCTCACAGAAAATGAAGCACCTGTCCAAGTATCAATACATACAATTTCTATATCCCACTTTGATAAAATTTTAAATCTTGTCTGCTGTATGAAGCACTGCCATGACACTATACAATTAGTTTGAGACTATCTTTTTAAAAAAAATTTTATTTATTTTTAGAGAGGGGGGAAAGAAGGGAGAAAGAAAGGGAGAAACAGCCATGGGAGAGGGAAACATCAATCAGTTGCCTCTCACACACCCCCAACTCGGGACCAAACCTGCAACCTTTCACTTTGCGGGATGATGCCCAAACAACTGAGCGACATCCGTCAGGGCGAGACTTAGTATCTTATTTCCTTTATTTTATGCACCCATTTTACTTACTGTAAAATTTACTCATTCCTGTGTTTGGATTAACTCTTGTCTAGATGTGAAATTAGACTTAAAGCATTACCAGAACTGCATTGTAGTGAATTGTTCAAGAAAATAATTTCCATATAATTAAAGAACATGGTACTTATACAATGAAAGATTTTAGCAGCGCCTATATTTTCAATTTTCTTTTATGCTCTAGAGAGGTGGAAATAAAAGGACTCCTAAAAACTGGGGTAGGGGAAAATTCTTTTCATCAGATTTCTCACTCAGATTCTTTGATTGGATGGAGTCGCGCTTTTGCTGGAATAGGAAATTTCTCGGTTGGAACTGAGGTTGTAGTCAGCCTCAATCAATGCAAGGACATAATGGGATCTCCAGCCCTCCTTAGGGAACGGTGCAAGTCCAGACATGG